AAAACAGAAGTCCCTAAAAATGGACGAAAACGGTAAATACTTAAAATTAAATGCAATTTTAGAGCTTTATCACTTGCGTAACTACTTACACGCTCTTCGTCAGTCTTTTATGGACCATTATGATAAGAATTATTTGGCGAATATCGACCGATTGGTTGCGGTTACTGATAGCGAGCTTTTCGAAAATGTTGTGACACGTGTATACCAGCGCAAGGAATATATTTTTAAAAAGGTGAGCATTCCAAATCTCTGACGCTCGCAATTTATATCCACATAAATAAGCAGATCTGCTTATTCAATTCGATCTAGATCGAACTGAACCAAATGTAAAAAAATATTTGTTTCGTTTGCTAGTGGATGAGCCAGTCCCACGTTGACCTCTTTTGTCACATACAAGTCGCCATCCCATGTGTGGCGATAAATATAGTTTGACGACCCCTGCTGGTCGTTGCGAAATATCCTTTAACCATTTGAACGCTTTCTACTTGGATGTCTTCTTTTTGATTGCTCGTTTAAAGACACGATGTGCTTGTGACTGAGCGATTGTTTTAGGGATACATAATCTATAGACCTTTTTCTAACACTCGAAATATGCACAAGATCTTTCTTATATTTACAATATCAAAGTACGTTTTAAATTTTTCGAAGGTACAAGACAGTAAACTAGTTTTTATGGACACCCGTTCTTTGCTAAACTTTCCGAGGAAACAATAACGTTTCGATAGTTTAATTTTGTGGGTTTGTTCGCAGATAGATACTTTTCAATACTTTAAAAATGTTTTCCAGCTCCATTTTAATTCATGTTAATATTTATTGTTCGCGATCTATAGATAAAGTAATTCGTTGTACCCCTTGCCTTATTTTTCTAATGGCGTGGGTCCTTGCGATATTTACTGTGATTAGTAAACTTGTCAACAGTAGGTGGTCGCATTGGAAGTATTTTCCGGAAAAAATCCCATTTTAAATCGATCAAGTCCACGATAATTAATTCTTCTATGTGTGGAATCTATTGGAATACCTTTATAGGGCACTTCATTGTTATAGTTACTGTACAGTCTTTCAACAGCCAAGACAGCTAATTCACAACCAGACCTGCTGCAACTTTAAGAGGAATCGATAGTTTATCCAAGCGATCGGGAAAATTAAAGGTTGCCTAGTAGCGTGTATACTTGAATTAGTTAGTTGGAAACTTGACCCAGTTGATAAATATTAATATATACTTCTTGAGATTTTACTGGCATTGGCTTTTTGTTTGTTGCTTTGTTATGACCGTTCTCTTAAATGCTTCCGGCACTACGGACAAATGCTTACTATTCTGATTCGATTCAGTTATTTAAAGAATACCTTTCTTACTTTTTTTCTTTTTGTAGAAGAGTGCAAATAAGCAGCCTCACTATCGTATACCCAGATTGGCCGCCCTAAAGTGCACTGCTTCTGAATTGGATGCACGAATACAGGCACTTAATTTACCGGATGATATTGCTATCTACGGGATTGCTATTCCGCACCCCGGTTTTTGGTGCGAACACGATGAACCGTTTGACAGCAAGAATAAGGATGTTAATACAGTTAGACGACCGTCTTCACCAGTGGGTTCGGAGCAAATGTGCGAAGAAAGCCACCGTGAGGAACGTAATATGCATTCACATATATCCTGGAAGTCCCTCGGAATTCGTTTTATGAGGAACGTTAACCGATGGTCGGATGAAGAATCAAGCTCAGAGGAGGAGGATGAGGAAGCGTTATATGTGAAGAAAATTAAACCACACAGTGTTGCCGCAGGGTAGGTCAGCTGATCGTATACAAATGCCACAAAATTTTGATATGTAATGTAAAAGGCATAAATGTTTACCAATCAGTGCACGCGCAAAATCATACCTTTCTTCTCATCAGTGGTAATAATTCAAACCATATGAAAATTGCATGCCATTTCCATAGCTACGTCGCTGAGCTTTCATACAGTATAATTACTGTATACAAAACGTCCCGTCCTGTAGACGTCTGTCCTCTAAAAACTATTATTCTCGTTATCGGATCCATAGTTCTATTAGCTCACAACTCAGTACCCTGGTGCATCCGAAATTGTAATCCTTTCATGTCTTTATAGGTATATTTACACCTACATACACAAATTTATTGGCTTTAGTGCTGAAATGTTTCATTACTTCTGAGATTCTTGATTAATCTGCAAAATTCCTGTTTCACAATCCTCTTTCTGCTGTGTATTATTGATTTTTTTACACGCGTTAAGTCAGTTTGAGGAAGAATCTCCGATCGAAGTATCCTTGCCTATTCTCTTATTGCTTAGTTCGAAACTCAAATGTCTGAAAACGTCCATTTCATGTTCCAATTTGTAGGATTACACTATGCGCTTTATAAATTACGTTTACTCTACTGCTGCCGCTACTAGTTTTAATTTTATAGCCACTGTTTCTATGCTATGCTAAATTATAATACTGCTACTGTTATATTTACACATTATCTCGACCCCTATTGGCGTCACCGCTGCCAGTTACTGTAGCTATTGTTCCTCTCGTTGTTAGTGCTGTTAGGATTATAATCGCTACTATTGTTTTTGTCATTGATATAACATTGATATTGCTGTTGTTAGTGGATATTATTACTATTAGTAGCATAACGCTTACCACGGCTAGTGTCAATATTCATATTACTACGGGTGCTGCTATTATTAGTAAGTCTGATACAATTACTGGAACCCCACTACTGCTACGATTACAGACAGGATTACTACCTCTGACATGCGACTTGTACATACTTATATCGAACCGATTATTACTCCAACAACGACTGCTACTACAGCTGCTGCTACTACTACCGCTATTACTATACCA